CAAGAGACTTGAAGTCCTATCACAAGATTCACAGGTAAAGATGCTTCAAACCACACTTTGAAAAAGCAGAAGGGAAAAGATAATGTAGTTTTAATATTGGTGGTGGACATTATACATTTATGATTCATAAGCACAGTCATGCTGAGGTTGGATGGCTCAGTTGTGCACTTTATACACCCAAGTCTTTAATATTCTTTCTGTCCTTTCAAAAATTCTACATAAACATACTGTTTTCAATTGAATGTATGAAATTTTAAATGTCCTATATAATTAAATTCAATAAAGAATGTAAATACTCTTTCAGAGTATCTTTTAGTTTTAAAATTACCAAAACATACCAGAATGTTTACTATGCATTAACATAACTGCAATATAAATTTAAGACTTGAAACACAGGTTTTATTACACTAAAAATATACAAACATTAATTCATAAATTCTTTTAAACTGGTAATCATTCATTGTTTACCTAATAAGAGACTGAATGTCAACTAAATACAAATATCCTTCTATATAAAATAAACCTAGAAGATATTTCTTTGCATCAAAGGTCATTTTCAGAATGATACTTTATGAGAATGACAAAGACTATACATTTCATCACATTCCTCAATACCTCTTGTCAAAGTGTATATGCAATGAATGCTAAAGTAGAAAAAAGTACATAAAACTACAACATTTCCAAATATCTAAACTGTCTGCCTAGCATTTTCAATTCATTTAAAGATCAGAAAAGTTACTCATCAATTCCAATTCTGACATTCCAATCACTGAACATGCAAAATTTTATTTTAAAGAAGAAACCATACACTGTAAATGGAAGCTTAAATGGTATAATCACTTGGGAAAAAATCTAGCAGTTGTTTAAAAAATTAACCATATCACTTTCCTAATCCAACATTATGTCCATAGCTAATTTATACAAGAATATTCATAGAACCTTCATACACAATAGCCAAAGTCTGGAAATAGCCCAGAAATACATCAAAAGATAAACCAACTGTGGTATATTTATACAACGGACACTACTCAGCAACAAAAAGCAATGAACTACTGACAAGATGGATGAACAGGAGTGAATATTAAAATGTTAAGATGGGTGAAAGAACAGAAACAAGGGGTATATACTGTATGAAGTTCTAGAACAGGCAGAGCTTACTTATGATTTTCTAAAAATCAGAACAGTGGTTGCCTAAAGTGCCAGAGGACTGATTAAAAAGGGAGATGAGAAGACTACCCATAGTGAGGATAATGTTCTGAATTTAAGAGGGATTTAAACTAAAAAGGTGTAGTCAACTGTCAAAAACCATCATTGAAGTTTTCTGCATTTCACTGTTTACAAATCTTACCTTTCAAAAAACACATACACAAATACATATTGAACTCCAATTTATAACATTCATGCTGAAGTGTTTAGAAGTATTCTAACTAATTCTGCAACTTGTTTGTATTATTTTAAAAATGAGTTGATGGATGGATGAATGGATAAATACATGATAAAGCAAATACAATAAAAAATTGCAGAATTTCAGTGATAGACATATGAATGTTTACTGTAAAATACTTCTCACTTTATGTTTGAAGACTTTCTTAATCTCTGTAACAGAAGTGAATTCACACGTAATTTTAAAACATGAAAACATTTAGACTTATACTAACAAAGTATAGGTCTAATGACCTATACATTTTAGTTTAAATTATTTGGGCTGAATTAGGCAGTATTTTTTTCTTATTTATTTTGCTTTCCACTATTTAAAAACCAATGAAAAGTAAAGATAATATTCATATTATAATTACTAGTTTTAATAAAACAAAAATCATATGTAAAGATTTAGCATAACTGTTAATGATTAACTGGTTGCATATTTTAAGCATTTAATCTTTTGTATGAAGTACTGCAACCATATTTCATCTAATTATTTTGAAGTATTTACAATCAAATTTACTATCAAATATTTAATTGATTTTGAGAATTGGTAGATCTTAGTATTTGAAAGATATATTATGATATTTAAACATGGTACACTTGGTATCTACTGTAACACAATCACCTGTATAAATATATTTCAATTATATCTCATCATTAAAATTTTACCTCAACAGAACTGAATTGTCTTATGACACAAAAAGCAAGTACCCACAAATCAGTACAATGTATTACCTTATATTTAAAAGAACATTAACCACCATCATGAACAGTATATATTAAACACATTTTATCACACTCTAAATTATTCAAACATGTCTTTTTAAAATTCAACATTAAAAGGCCACACATGAAAAATAATTCATATTTTACACATTTCTATCTAAGATGCAACAGGAGAGTGAATCCTTCAAAAATGAAATAATACCAAGTTGATGTCTCATTATACATAAAAGTACTTGATTTGAATATTTTAAGAAATCCGCTGGCATCTTAAGAAATGGAAGAGCTTCATTATCTTTTCCAGGATGCCATTATAAATCATACCTAGTTTAGGAAAACAGAAGTTGTAAAAATAATGTACAATTTAAGTTCATATGGGTAAGAAAACATATGGGGAGGTGCTAAAAATAACCTATCCACTATTTAAAGTACTAATATATTGGGTGAAATAGTAATTTGACTTAGATTTTCAAATTTAATATACTTACACAAAATTAGTCTACATTTTAAAAATCAAATCACTCTTCCTTATGTCTTCCCAGCACATTTCATAGGTCAATCTCACGGCCCCAAACAGTTCTCCACAGTATGTAGGATGTCTGGTGGCTTTAGTTGTATTCCATTAGTACTAGCAGAATTCGCCCTTACACATTCCCCTTAGTAAAAGTTGCCCTCAGTGAAAACTGCTAAATTGCTAAGTAGTCAAAAAACTCAAAAAAGTCTGAATGTCAAAAAGACAAAGAAAAAAATGTTTAGCTCAGAATCTTCCTAAGCTATTACATAAAATGACAATAAGAACCTCCAAAAAAAAAAAGTTTAACAGTCAAATTTTCTTTATACTGGAATTTTCATAAACTATGCCAATTATGGTTGCATGGATGGAAGAGTGGTTATAAAATGGAACAGAATCATAAGCACTTAAATTTTTACAAATTAAAATTACACAAGACTGATTGGAAAAACTGCTATTGTAAATTCACTGCAATGAGTGAGATACTGGGGTTTAAAAATATATAAAAATAAGGCTGTTTTATTCTACTCAGTCCCTAAATGTTAATGAATTTGCCCTCTGACACAACCAAAGAAACAACACAATGCTAGAAAAAAATCCGACTGTCACAGACTATGTTTACAACTATTTTATGGGCAGCAGAATTTTCAAGGGCAATTTTGTATGTACATTTTTACCTTCGACACTGATTTTAGAACCTAATCACCAAAAAAGATGTATGCTGCACTTTTTTTTTAGATTTTGTTTATTTTTAGAGTGAGGGGAAGGGAGGGAGAAAGAGAGGCAGAGAAGCATCAATGTGTGAGAGATATACACTAAACGGTTGCCTCTTACTTGTCCGCACTGGGAGACTGAGCCCACAACCCAGGCATGTGTCCTGACTGGGAATCGAACCAGCGACCTTTCAGTTTGCAGGCTGGCACTCAATTCACTAAGTCACACAGCCAGGGCATATGTTGCACTATTTTGAACCAGAACTCTTTCCTAGCAACATCTCACAGAATTAATGTTCCACAGAACACACTTTGGAAAACTCTGATTTAGCTGCACAAAGTCAATATTCAAATTAAACATTCATCATCAATTCTGAGTATTAGCATGCTCAGACTGCAATATGAATTACTTTATATGTAGTAATTTGTTTTCAATAACCTCAAAAACTTAAAGCTGACTATTATAAGAATGCATTTACTGGAACTCTACTGTAAAAACATTACCTCAAATTAGAATTATAGAAAATTCATTAGACTCAAAGTCATAGAAGATTAAAGATGATAAAATTGTCAAAAGGATATATCATAATAAATATTCAAGGCATTTTTATAAAATATTGAACTCTTAATAGCAGATATAAAATGCCAATGAAACTAAGCATTCAACAACCTAAAGTAATACCTTAATAGTCCATTTTATTTTTATTATTTCTATTTCTACAGCCACAACCTAAATTTCAGACTTACTCTCACGACAATGCCCACCCTAAAAGACACTGACTTGGAACTCTAATTTATCTCTCTGTTAATCAAAAGGCATCAATGGCTTCCCACTATACATTCAGGTTTGATTTCTTAAAAATCGTTTTTCATGTAATCTATAATCTGGCACCAACCAACTTCCAAATTGATATCCCTTAATTCACCTTTACTCCTTTTCAACAACACTTTTTGAGAATCTAGTATGATTTAGGCACTGGGCTAGGTTCCAAAATACAGGGTTTATTAAAATAATTGCTGGACTCTACCTCCAGGGTTTCTGATTCAAAAGGTATAAGTTTACATTTTCCACAAGTTCTCAAATGATGCCGATGCTACTGGTCAGGATCTACTCTTGGTGAACCATTGTCCTACTCCAAAGGCCACAAACCGGAAGCCCATTGGCTGAATGAGGTCTACTCACGTGTTTTGTCTGTGCAGTGTTTCAACATTTTGAATTATTTGCAAACATCTTAAAACTGGAAAACTGTCACATGAAATACATATTTCTGGCTTATGCTTGTATGTAAAAATTCTCCTGGAGCTAAACAGTAGCTACCCCATTTAGTTAAGGGAGATGTCCTAGTTCAGGTTACCACTGCCCTAATCGGCCCTCTACACTCAAGGTCAAGTCATCTGGCCTAGCGCCGGACTCGTGCTTGCACACAAATGATCCACTTCTCCCCATTCTCAGCCTTTCTCCATCCTCCTCACTTTGACTTAAACACCTCTTCTCCACTTTACTGCTAAAATTGTACCTACCCCATTCAAAAGCTTGGCTTAAAAAATCCTTCCTCAACAAAGCCCCAGCAAAAACAAAATCCTTAAGTAATATACATATTAAAGATTTAAACTTAATATGTGTGCTTTAAGAATGAATGTTTTATTTCCATAAATACTCAAATAGCAGTATTTATAAAACACATTACAGAACATCATTTAAACCATCAACATATTTTTGCTACTTTTAATCTACGTAAAATTTAAATTTTGTTCATTAAATTTTTTACTGTGAAATATTTTTCAGAATAAGACATTAAAAATGAACTAAGACATTAAATCTTATAGCCAAGATATATAATAGCTCCAAGAGAGTATCTTATTTTGCTGGAGAAAAAAAAAAAAAAACAAAAAAATGGAGGACTGGGTAACTAATACAATTCCCCTGATTTCATAACCTCCCAATTTTAAAAACAATTTTAATGAAACAAACACTTCCACTTTTTACATGGAGGATATTTTAATGGACCTTTACTTCTATGGAAACAGCAAAGAGAAAAATTACAAAGATTCAGTGCTGGTCCTTGCTCTGCCATAAATAGCTTTTCACATCAAGTAAGTTGAATTCTCCCTGGACTTCAGTTTTATTAGCTTCTAAATTGAAGACGTAGGGGAAAAGGTAATCTCCAAACACCTTTAGTCACTAAAATCATAGGACTTAATCCTTTCAAAAATGAAAGCATTAAAATCAATGTCATAAAGACAAGTTTCTGTTAATAGACTAGTATTGCTTCTAAATTACAGTGACTTATGAACCTTAAACTACTACAGCTTTCAAAGCTCTAATTTAAAATGTTGAAGACTCAGAGCTTTGAAAGAATATTTGTTTGTGTATATATTTACATGTTATATTTTAATGATTAAAATATAACATCATTTGTAAGGCAAACAATTAAACTCCTAGCAAAAAAAAACTGAGGAAAGACAAAAAAACACAACCATGCCATCTAATCAGTAAGTTTTAATATATCTTAAAAGAAAATTGAATAATTAGAAAATGTCGAGCTTTTTTAAATGAGACTAAATATTTCTTAAGTATGTATTCTGCTTTAAGATATTCCCAAATGAAAGTAATTTGGCCAAAATTAAAATTATCAAATTGGGAGACTGAAAAAAAACTTAGAAACTATCATATTCAGGCAGATCATGCCGTAAGCGAATTGCTTTCAGCTTCTCCACTTCGATTTTTGCTTGTAGCAACTCTTCTTCTAGCTGCTGCCTTCTTTTCAATCCATCTCTCTTCTCCTGAACATACAATCCAAAATTTTTTTGATTTTCTAAAATTATCTGATGCTCCTCTTTCAGCATTTGCAGAATCTGAGGGTCAGACCCTAATTGTGACCTAAAGTGTCCTCCATTCTCATGATGAAAAAAGTCATCTCTCCTTGGAAGAGAAGATGGAGACAATGTCATTCTCACATCAACAGAGGAAAGTGATGGCGACACAGATCTTTCCATAAGATGTGCTAATTCATGTTCTTCTCTTTGCTCAAAAGTATAACTCTGTTCAGAATTTAAAACCAGTGGAGGGGGTTTAATGTCTTCTTCTTGCTTCACCTCCACTGTAATAGCAACTGGATGGTGATCCAACATTACTTGTAGAGAACTGGTACCAGCCTGTGCTTCCTCATCCAAGTTTGCACTACAGCACACAAAAAAGCATTATAAAATGTAAATCATCAAATGAAAACAAGAGTATATTTATGCCATAGCTTCATGTTCAATATACATTAGTCATCAAGCTTTAAAGCTATGAAAAAAATTATGAAACAAAAAAATCTTAACCATGCCCTAGCTGGTGTGACTCAGTGGACTGAGTGTTGGCCTGGGAACCAAAGGGTCACAGGTTCGATTCCTGGTCAGGGCACATACCTGGGTTGCAGGCCAAGTCCCCATATGGGGACACATGAGAGGCAACCACACACTGATGCTTCTCTCCTTCTCTTTCTCCCTCCCTTCCCCTCTCTCTAAAAATAAATAAATATATATATTTTTTTAATCTTAACCCTTAGAATAACAAAAGTAAGTGGCTAAGTGGTCTTCCCCATTCCCTCCCTCCTTCCCTCACACACCAGCACCTTTCCCCATCCCCTTCTCAGGTGATTCTCTAGGTGTGTCCCGTTTGCCTCACTCTTTCTCCTAAGCTCCATGGCCCTTCTTTTACCTCTGTAATTTGTTTCCTCAGCCCATTTCTTCTACGGCTTATTTCTTCAACCTCTGACTTTCTAAATAAACTTTCCCTTATAGTTTGTCTTGGCTCTGAATTGTTTCTTAGCCAGAACTCGAGTACTGAGGTTGTCGAACGGAAGTGCAGCCTAACTTGTTCCTAACACCTCCACTTCTCTTTGTTTCTAAGAGTTTCTGTGGGTTTTGTGTTTGAGTGTTTTCTAAGATTTTATTTTTTTAATTTATTTTTAGAGAGAGGGGAAGAAAGGGAGAGGGAGAGACACATAGATATGTGAGAGATACACCAATAAGTTGCCTCTCACACACTCCCAGGTCCACAACCCAGGCATGTGCCTTGACTGGGAATCAAACCAGTGAGTGACCTTTTAGATCACAAGCCAGCACTCAATCTACTGAGCCACACCAACCAGGGCTGTTTGAGTTGTTTTTTTAATTCCACATATAAGTGAATTCACATGGCATTTGTCCTTCTCTCTCTGACTTACTTCACTTAACATAATACCCGCCATACCTATCTTTATTGTCACAAATGGCAGAATTACTTTCTTTTTTATCCAGTATGTATGTATACCATATAATCTTCATCTGTTGTTTGTTTTTTTGTTTGTTTGTTTGTTTGTTTTTTGCTAAAAACCTAGGTTGCTTCTGTATCTTGGCTATTGGAGATAATGCTGCAATAACCTAGGCATGCATATATCTATTGGAAAATGTTTTTGTTTTCTTTGGATAAATACACAGAATAGAACTGCCAAAAAAATTTTTTTAAGGTGAGTAACAAAGTTTAGGACTTTAATAACATACACATATAGCTTTCTTCCATTCTTAAGTTAAAAATTAGGCTCTTAAAAATACAGGAAATTTCAAATACTACACAGGATCAGGAGGTAAATTATTTTTTTTAAAAAAAGCCATTTTTAATGGTCTCAAAGAGACACAAATTGCTCTACAAGCCTGACATCTTTTAATGGCATTAGAAAGCCACTCAATGCATTCTGGGCCTTGCTATCCCCACACCTTAACCCTTGAACTGCTTGTGCTCTCCTAAACCAATCTAACAATCATGAAAGCTCAAAACTTCTAGGAGTACAATGGAAGTCCATCTGTGATTTCTGTATTTATCCAAAAAAAAAAAAATCAGTGGGATAAATGGTAATGGGAAAAACTAATTTTTAAAAATCAAGATTTTATATGGCTTTCAGTATGCCCAACTATCAGGATTATCCTTTCTACCCATTTGCACATGCAGCAGTGTTTAGTCTTACCTATCTTAAACCAAACAACTCAGCTGTTCTCTCAGTTTTTCAACCACTGTCAGGTCAAGTTCAAAGGCCAAGGATTTATATCTACCACTATATCACCAGCATATACCTTAAAATTGTACTTGAAACCTAGTAGGTGCTCATTATATGTTGAATGATTAAATGTACCTGAAATGGTTTTTGTAATGCAATGTTTTTAAATGGCTTATATGATATATTTAAAGTTTATTAAATTTACATGTAATTTCCATAAAACAAAACTTCTTCCTAAAGACATCTAGTTTTAGCATAGTTTATTAATATTTGTAATGATATAAGTGCAATATACCTTAAGATTCTAGTTTTATAAAAAACTATTTCACATATAAAGATGTTAATTTAAAATATAATTTAAAATATATAAAATATAGAATTTAAAATGTATAATGTTTCTTGAGGGGTTTTTTAATTTTTGCTTCTGCCTAACTTAAAAATAAAAGTTACAAAGGAGAAAAAGATTATTAATGAGAAAACACTATATTAACATTTAGAGAATATTTACAATGAAAAAGTAACATGGTTAAGATATATTGTACATGGATGATTAATATGTTGAAGTAAGCTGAAGTGGAACATACGAAAAGAATTAAAATCCCCATATGTCACTTACAAATGGCATTAAATTGCCAAAAATATCAGATATTTGTCTAACAGATACAAATGAAATAAGATATATAGTATGTTATGAAAAAATCTATTTGTAGATCACATAAATTTTCACTTTAATTTTTGACTTTTTGTCATCTTATGCTTTTCAAAAGCAAAGCACTAGAAATGTAATTCAAATTAGTAAGATTTGCTTTTATTAGCATCTCTAAAACTTAGAATGGGAAAATGTTCAAACTACAGATGAAAATTTAATTTTTAAAATCTACATAATTACTATTCCAAATTATTATGTATAACAGAGTAAAACTCACAATTAGACACAAACATATTCTCATGTAAATTTAAAATATGCCTTATATCTGGAATATTGCACTCCAGATATTGTTTTAGTTGAAACATTTATAAGTAAGGTCATTATATAAAAAGTACATTAGAGAATGTCACAAAAATAATAAACAGAAGGACTTCTAAAATTTATAAATATTGATTTTAAAGATCAAATAGATTACAAAAACACAAAACATAATTTGATATTAGAAAGAAAAACAAAGGCATAAATCAATGTGTTATGGAGACAGTCTTACAAAATAGGTGTGTACTTTTTTAATAAGATTTATTTATTTATTTTTAGAGAGAGAGGAGGGAGGCAGAAGGAGGGACAGAAACAGCAATATGAGAGAGAACTATTGACCAATTGCCTCTCTCATGCCCCCAAATAGAGACCTGGCCAGCAAGCCAGGCATGTGCCCTGACTGGGAATTGAACCGGAGACCTTCTGGTTTGCAGGTCGGCAGTCAACCCACTGAGCCATACCAGCCAGGGCAGGTGTGTATTTTCAAATACATTAAATAATATAAGCAGTAAGATTTTACTTATTAAGAATGGAGAGTTTAGTGAGATTAACAGACATATTTATATAAAAGTATAATTAAAGTTATAAAATAATTATATTATTTTATATAATTAAGATTCAAGATGATGCTAAGTATAAGCACATTACATATATAAATATATTAAATGAAAATGCTACTACAGAAAAATAGCACTGTAGACACCAACATAAGCAAGCAATTAAATGACTTATTTCGAATACTCTTCACTTTAAAATCTGAAAAATTGGCCCTGGCTGGGTTGTAGCTCAATTGGTTAGATCATCATCCCTAAACACAAGGTTACAGGTTTGATCCCTGGTCAGGGCATATACAGCAATGAATCAATGAATGCATAAATAAGTGGAACAACAAATCAATCTCTCTCTCTCCCCGTCATCCCCTTCCTCTCTCTCTCTCTAAAATCAATAATTTTTTAACCTGAAAAATTATTTACACAGTAGGTATAAAAATAGGTTAAATCAATTCATTCCTTTTATCAGAGAAATTTAGTTGTCTCAAAAGACTGAGTATATAACACACACACAAATGGTCAAAATATAAGTAGGTACTTGCATATTATTTTTCTTCTATAGTCACTGTATTATTAAAATATGTATCTATGGCTTCTCAGCCTTTCAGCTAAGATCATATATAGTATCCATTCTTACCAGCTTAAAATATTTATCTAACTAAAACTATAGGTTCTATATGTAGTTTGCAAATTACAAAAGCCTATACTTAATACCCAAAAGATAGTTTTATACCTGTAATGCAAAAGCCACTTTTCTCTATGGTTTGGGGGGGGGGGGGGCAGTGGGGGATTTAATAAGTAGGACACTATAAAACAGTCTTTCTGTGGAGTTTTTTGGACACCCAGTATATTAAGATTTAATCCTTTGTAATCACAGTGAACATTTTAAGCAGTGGTCCCATGACTTAATATAATACACTGTAGATCCATGTCCCAGATTCCCACTAGTGATATTTTTTTTTTACTATGCTATCAACTAGAAATAAGCTAGGCTGAAAAAACTATCCTAGTAAATTATCAAAATAACAAACACATTTGCTAAAAAGTTTTTTCCCCTTGTTTCTCTCTCAACTTCAAAAAGATTTCACAGGTAATCAATAATTTTGCTTATAAAATAACTCTCCCACTAATAGGAAAGCAAACTGTAAAGCTTTGTTTGAAAGGTCTCCCAACTAACAATAAGTTCATAACCTGTAAATTACCCTAAATGATTCAGAAGAATGCAGCTGCCATTTTTGTCTTGTGCCAGGGGTTAAAATTTCAATCAGTAGTAAAATAAGAGTTTTTATGATTCCCAGGGAAGTAGTTACGTGTAGCATAAATTGAAACAAACAAACAAAAGAAATGTTTCTAACCCTTAATGAACCCAGTTGCTCTTACTGGTATAGTAAAACTCATAGTCTGATATCCTTGCAAAGCAGTTTGAGAAATCCTGCCCTTTCCTGTGTGACCCAAGATCAAAGTGACACCATATCATTAATTAATAAAAACACAAAAATTGAATTTTATTATGTAGTTGAATCCCTAATTGGGTATCAATACTTTTCCTAGTGTTTAAATATAAGTTAGAAAAAGAATTTAAACTGTTTTAATATATACAATACCATTGATAAGTTTACATAGTTATTGATTTTAGTTTTTTAGCTCAAAGAATATTCAAAAGGAGATTAACAATTTCAAATAAAAGCATGGGTTCATTTCTCCTGAAACTAACTTTTTACAAAACTGAAAATTCTGATGAAATATAATCTTCAATGACATTTTAAAGATCTCTCAGCTAATTAAATAATTTAATTTTAAAGCTTAAAAAGTTTATGAGGTGATGTTACAAATTTCATCCCATTCATTCCTCCCTAACCTTCACTTTTCAGAAACTACAAAGGGAGAGAAGGGGGAAGGGAAGACAATAAAAAGTGGCTTAAATGAAATGCAGCAGAAAAATTCCTTATAGCCTCACTTTTCTTTTTTTAGAATACAAAACAAAGACACTATTCAGTGCTCCCGTGTGGGGATGCTTACTATGCATATCACTATCACAACTAAGCCAGAGCCCAATAGATAGGAGGCGCCATAATTTTCCACAACAAAATAAAATAAAGCTTACCTTTGTATGTGGTTCCTGTCTCTTACCAGGCAAAAACTGGAAATCTGGGGAATCATCTCCATAACTTTCTTGGTTGGCTCAGAAATATTGCTTTTAAAATCTGATTGGGTATCTTTTTGCTGCAATAGCTCCTGTTTGGCATATTCTTTGAGTCTTTTGTAAAGGGTGCGTAGGCCCTGCGCTGTTCGTGGAGGGCGGTCTACTCCAATTGCATTATAGTTAACTGCTATGATATCCCAACATCTATTCTTTTCCACTATTACTGAATGTTTATTAGTGTGTTCTTCAAGAATTTTCACATATGGCTTCACAAGCTTTAGCAAATCAAGCTTTTCAGATAAGGTAAAATTGGAAGATCTAGCCTTTCCTACCATTGTTCTTTTCAAATTTAAGTAGGCAGTTTCTGAAACCACCATGCAGCCTTCAGCTCTGCTCAGCTCTTTTCACAAACGGAAAAAGATCAGGCTTAACTAGGCTAGCCTCATTTAGGCCCACGCCTACAGGGGAGGGTTTATTAAAATTCCTCCAGCTTAAGCTGACGCAGGTTCAGGAAATCTGCTTAAGCCAAGCCTGACCTACATAAAGCTTCTCACTGAAAAAGACAGGAAGGCACAAGCAAAACACACTTGTGTATAAAGAGAACAGCTCAAGATAGAATTTAATACACAAAGGTCTAGAGATAAGCATGGAACACAGCTAAAAATTAGCTAGTTTGGTGAGACTATCAAATTTCCACACATGTATGCCTAGCTGATAGATTGAAACTGCACTGCAGTATCACTTTAATAAAAACAAAAGAGGAACTGTTTTGTGCTATTTGTTTACAAACCCAGTAGACAGAAAAAATAAAACTAAAAATATGAGTGGTGAATGTAGTGATTCCTAACTGAGCAGGGCCCTAATCACTGTTAATGAGCTGCATTCTCTCTTACAAAATCTGCATAATGCTGGTCCTGCTGTCAATCAGGCATTGCATATCCTCTAGCTAGTTAGGTTACACCCGCCTCAGACTCCACAGTAAAGCTAAGCTTCTCCTTCATTTGACAATCTATAGTATCCAGTGTACTTTTATTCAGTTACTTAAAAAGAAATTTTTGTCGAACACTGAATCTAAAAAGCAGATAAAAAATATGTTTTTAAAGCAATGGATTATTCTAGCTGTAACGAATGTGAATATGCTAGCCTGCTTTATCATGTGTAAAAATCACCAGCCACAGTGAGAACAGCATCATCTCACTTTACGACTGCATACAACAAAATCGCCTTTGCTATTATTAAGAAGTGGAATTTTTATTTAGCTATACTCACACAATCTGAACTATGAAAGGAAATGGCTAGTCTAGCCATTTGCAAGGCCACCATTTTGCATGCTTAGAACACGTCAATGTAAGAAATATTCAAACCTGTAAGAATTTTTATGAATTTGAGCCAAACTGATGACAACTGCCGGGAAGCAAAAATCCCAATAGATTGAGAAAATGCTCCAGAGATTGGCAGTTTTGTGCCTTATTTTATACACTACAATAGAAGGCGGAGGGAAAGGGGGCTACATGAAATTCATTAGTGACAGATTCGGGAGACAGGAGAAAGCAAAGTGGGGAAATCTCTGGGACTGGAGAAAAAGTAAAAGGCAGGCACATACGGTACTTCTTTTACATAGGCAGGTGTAGGGCAGTTAACAGTTAGGACTTAACATGATCATAATAACAATAAGGATTTGTGATCCCTGTTCTGGTGCTTTGTGGGGTGGGTGGGGGAATAATTTTGATATTCCAAAGTTACTGTTATCAGATATATTAATATAGATGCAAAAAAAAACCCAAACTGGCTCAGTTAAAGTAAAAATTGACCTTTGTTAGGCAACAATATTGACCTAGGACATGACTACCCGCAGTAGACTGCTTTTAGTTAGGAAGTTTTAATGTCAGACCAGCCCGTGTGGTTACTTTAGCTCTCCGAGTTTGTCAGGCAGCCGTGCAGGCCGCCCCTGATCTTGTCAGGTTTAGTATGTGACCCCTTTTTCATCCATAAATGTATTTTCTAATCTCTGTCTGAAAATACGATAAATAACAATGTATGCAAAATAAGCCTATTTTCTCCCGATATACTACATGTTTCTCCAGACAGGAGAATGGATTAGAATATACTTGAACACAGTTCCATTCAACCAAACAATTACTGAACACCCATCAAAAAAGCTCCCTCTGCCCTAGCTGGTGTGGCTCAGTGGATTGCACGCTGGCCTGCAAACCGGTAAATTAACTGACAGGGTTGCAGGCCAGGTTCCTCGTTGGGGGTGTGCAAGGCAACCACACATTGATGTTTCTCTCCTTCTCTTCTCCCACCCTTCCCCTCTCTCTGAAAATAAATTTTTAAAATCTTAAAAAAAAAATAGAACAAAAACACGCTCCCAAGCACTGTGCAAGGCCTAAGGAAATCAAAGGTGAATCTAGCTAGATACAGCCCCTAACCAGGAAACTGTAGTTCTGCAGAAATGTCATAAATTTTCAAATCCTTGTTTTTCATTCTTTCAATGGAAGAGAAGCCAATTAAATGTATTGAGTTCTCACAATAAGCCAGGTCATGTGCAAGAAGCATTAAATGTGTATCCATCAGGAAAAAATGTGAAAGACTGCAGGGCGTTCTATAGAATGGTAGGTGTTGTCGGGCATACCCTACTGAGTAACCTTGACTTGAGTCCTAGCCTTCCACTGCCTTTGGACAGTTTTACTGCTCAGTAAATTGTAGCAAACAGTAATGAAAATTATTCTTGTCCATAGACAAAGGAATTGAAAAATTGACGATCACAGATAAAAAAAAAGTGAGAACACAAAATTTATGCTGTCCTTAAATAATATTTTGTTATTTTTGGAAGAAATACAGATATTGTGTTAAGAAACGAAATACTATTAAAAATCATTCAATCTCACTAAATCAAGGAAATGTATATGAAAAACAATTTTCATTCATAAGAATGACCAAATTCTTAAAGACCGAAAATGTCAAGAGTGGATTAAGGAGGCAGGGCAAAGAACACTCTTCTGTACTATTGATGGAAGTGTAAAAATGGCATTCTGGATATTGATCTGGGAGTATCTATTAATACTTTACATGTGTAAAACCTTCCAAAACTGTTAACCTAAAAATAAATTAAGACAGGTAAGCCAGGACAAGCAAAACAGGAAACTGAGACAAACGGTTAAACAAGCAGTTTGAAGCCATCTAGTAAATCCAACCTTCCCTAAATCAAGAATACCTGATAGTACTGGTAGATGGTTTGCATTTCTCCTCCCCAGCCAGAGGGTAAATAGCTTAAATCACTCTACTCAGGGAGCTAAATAACGAAAACCCAATTAGTGTTATTTGCCAACCAGGCCCAAGGACAGATGAAGTCAAAAGAATAAATCTCATTTTGGCACATCAGCATAACATTGGTGAATATTTTATTGAGATCCTCCCCTAAAACCGCCCCTAAGTCCCCAGACTTTAAAACCCCACAAAGGTCTCAGCGCACAGCACACGCGTGTGCTCTGGGATGTGCCCTCACCTTGCACCTTTCCCCTTCTTCTGCCCCCACAGGCATGCATTTCCTAAAGTCCAAGGGACCCCACAAGGTTTTCGGCCAAGCAGCAATGGGCAGCAGCAGCTCGTCCTGTGTTAATCTCCAGACCCCACTTTTCTCTGGCTTCTTAGTGAGCTACACCAGACAGGCCAAGGCTCATTTCTTTCCTATATCATTCCCAGAAAGCCCAGGCAGCTCCGCTTAGGCTCCTCTGTTGCTTCTAATACCCTAAGCCCTTCCTTGTTTCACTGCCCCGGGCTTTAATAAACATCCTGTAAAAATCATTGTGAAATCTTTCCTGACAAAATCAAGAATCCGCACACTACCAGCCGTCCGTAGGCAGACCCACTCAGGGCCAGGTCCCCTTTCCAGTAACACAAGGACCAAAGTGAGAGGCAACAAGAGTTTGGGAGCCAAAATAATAGCTATTCATGAATCACTGATTCAGGCAGAACCCAAATAGTCCTCCAATTAGGAGATGAAGGCAAGGGGTATTTATGAGACAGGAAAGGGGAATAATTACATGAACAGGGTGGTAAGCTAAGGAAGGAATTTCTATAGGTGCAGATAAGCTAAAACAGCAATGCTGATTCTAAAAATGGCTTTAATTTTCAGTACAGTAGTCATAATAACTGTTTTCTTGTTATCTTTGCAAACAGTTCTTTGGAATGCAGTCCAAGCGTTATTTTGCCCAGTTTTATCATTCCAAAGGTTTGAGGAGTGAGACAGGCAAAGCAGTTCCTCTGAGATGATCGCTCTGGCTTCCGTTTGAAGGGGCTCCCTTTGAGACAGGCCAGCTAGCCAGGACAAGTGGAGTCGGGAAACTCAGACAGGCAGCTGAACAAACTGACAGGTCAATTTACAGCCAGACACAAAAGGTCACCTCCCTAGAGATAACATCTAGGCCTCACTTGTGTTTCAGCTACAGGCCCAGAAAAACAGCAAAATAAGGTGGGAAATGCCAGGACCAGCTGCAATGACTAATGACCCCCTGCCCTGTCACTAACCCTGAAAGAACACACCTGGAAACTGATAACAGTTCCACTGAAACCCTCTCCTGAGACCTTCCCTGACACCTCCCCTAAAATTCCCACCTGCAAGAGAGAGAGAAAACAGTCAAGAGAAGGGCAGATGATCACGCGCTCCCTCTGGAGAGCAGCCTATGCCATTCCCTTCCCCCTCTTTTTCCCTCTCTTCTTCCCTCATAGGAACGCATCTCCTAAACTCTAAGGGTCTCTCGAGACTTACAACCAGGGGAGCAATGGGCAGCGGCAGCTTGTCCCAGGTTAATCCCTGAACCTGTTCCCAAGGCCCCCTTTTCTCTGACTTCCCAGTGAGTCAAAGCAGCCCAGCCCAGGCTGTCTCTGGTGGTTTCTTGTACCGTATGCCCTTCCTGTTTCACTGTCCCCAGCTTTAATAAGTACACCTTCACAGTCCTCTAAAAAGTACCTGGACTTGTATTGTGAAATTTTTTGTGGGTTTCCAAAAACCCACACACTACCAGCTGGCCCTAGGCAGAGCTACTCAGGGCCAGGTCCCCTGTCTGGTAACACCTTTATATAGGTATAGAAAGTAGACAGATACATACATCTGAAAATGCACTCCAAAAAGATCTAGAACTCCACTCTCTAATACAGTAGCCATGAACCACATGTGGATACTGAGCTCTCCCCTCTCTGGAAAACGGGGATACAGAGTTGAAAATTATAAGCTTCTAATCATGGAGCCCACCATAAGTCAACTCATTAAAACAAAAAACGTTCCTATCACCCAGGAAATTCCAAGGGATTCAGGAACTCTGTAAGAAACTGGGGTCAATGACCAAATATTAGAACAAAAGATGCTCCTAGTACTCTCATC